CAAATTTTTACTAGTTTATCCTTAATAACATTTTTTAATTTATATAATATTTTTCCCAAAATAGTTTTTAAAATTTTCTCTACATTCCATATTCGTTGTTTATCATTTTCTCTACAAAGAAACTTTTTAATTCATAATCTTTTGTAAAAAATTTGAGGGTATTTTAGTCCTTTTAACAAGAGAAAGACTTATCAACACCTTTCTATCAAATATATCAATTGCTTATTATCAGTTTCAGCAGGTCTATCCAAACACGTAAATGTTTATTTAAATAATCAGTTTCAGCACTTCAACCTTATCAACTATTTACAATGAGCTAATCCAAACGGGCTCTTAGTGTTTGGCAAAGCTTTCAAAAACTGCTTCTAATACCTTGTTTGGCCAAGCTTCTCCAAGCCAAAAGTACTTTTTCTTTTCAAAAAAAAAAAATATTTCTTTCTAAAGTTGAAGTGTTTGACCAAGCTTTTAGAGGGGAAAAAAGTATTTTTGAGTAGAAGCAAAAGTTGTTTTGGAGAAACAAAATAAAGTAGCTTCTCTCCGAAAATACTTTTGAGAAAAATACACTTAGAAACGGTTTTTAAAAGCTTGGCCAAACACTAATTGCTGCTCATAAGTGCTTTTCAAATAAATTAGCTAAAGACTAATTTCTTCTCACCAAAAGTACTTTTGAAAAAAACACTTTTGAGAAAAAACACTTCTCAAAATAAGCTGATTTTTGCAGTTTGGCCAAACAGGCTATAAGTGCATTTTACTTAAAAGTGCTTTTCAAAAAAGTATTTTTTTAAGAGAAGCTACTTTTTTCTACTTCTCCAAAACTGTTTTTGCTTNCCCCCCTTCATGGACGTCTCTAGATTCTTCCATTGATGTTCAATCTGAGCTCCATCTCTTTCTCCATTCTCACATCTTAACAATTACTATATTCAATGGTAAGCACTGAATATATATAACCTCCTAGCAGGCAGCAATCTCGTAATAAACAATTGGTAGGAACTTACACATGTGCAATGGCAATTGATAGTTAGTAAGTTAAGTTGTATGTAACTGAAATTGTTAAACAATTGAAGCTCAAAAGCTGAAGATTTTCAAAAATTGGATAACAAGATTAAAACTTTCCACATCGCTAAAGCATTGCATTTTTTTATGTTCTTATTTATTGACTAACGTTTTAGAGTGGCCTTTAGTCATAATAGTTATCAGTTGTGCCCGTTATGATTATATGCCTTATTGTTTCAGCTGCACTAGTTCGATACCAGATAGCAGGAAACTTTCTGGGATTGCCTGCTGTTACTATACCAGTATGCTATCCAATTTCTACTACATCTATTTTTTTAGATTCAGATTGAGGACTACATTGAAAATTCCCAAATGGTAAAAACTTACCTGTATAAGTGGGCGTTTGGAGATAAGAATTGTAAAATTTCAAAAAAAAAAGTAATTTTTTTTTTCAAGTGAAAATGGTATTTGAAAATTAGAGTTGTGTTTGGACATGAATATAATTTTGGGTTGTTTTTTAAGTTATGTGAGTGATCTGAGTGAAAATTTTGAAAATTAACTTTTTGGAGTTTTTAAAATTTTTAAAAAATTCATCTTCAAGTGAAAATTGAAAATTTTATGACCAAACATTGATTTCGAAAAAGAATGAAAAAATTCCTATGTCCAAACGGTTGAGAAATTTTCATAAAGCACTATCCTTTAGCAGTAATTAGCCATCTATAAATACCATTTACTATATTATGGATTATAGATACCTTTTATGTGGTTATAAGATGTATTTGATGTATTTAAGCTATTGTATTCATGAATACAGTAGCGAAAATAGGCGTGAATCAAGGAAGTCCAGCTAATCAGTTGTTGTATTCGACTGTATTCACGGAGTGAAACATGAGATTGCAGCTGGACAAATTATTGTATTCGGTTGTATTCACGGCGTGAAATAGGGATTACACTGTTTTTAAAAAGGAAAGTGAATCAATTAACATAATATACTCCTAATATAACTCAACAAACTCAATTATAACACACAAATTTTGTATTTTCAGTTATAAAAAAGATTCTCAACCGAAAAATACCCTAAAAACATAGCAATCTTCCGAGAAATTATATAATACATTTGAATACATAAATTATATTAATTAAAAAAAATATATGAATACATTCATGGCATATAGCGAGATAGTGAATACAATGAAATACATAGAATACAACGGAATACATTGAAATACAATGAAAAAAAAGACAGTGAATACAACAAATACATGGAATACAACGAGATACATTGAAGTACAATGAAAAAAAAGACAATAAATACAATGGAATACATGAAAATACATTGAAATATATTAACAGAAAATCAAGTTGCTCAGCCACAAACTCCATCGTCTTTGTTCAAGAACAAACCCTAATTTTCGGTGAATCCGTCGTTCACCGGAAGCTGGTAGTGAAAACACGCCGCCTTGGTCCGGCGATGATGCTGGAGCCGAGGTCACTCCCTGAGCAGAAGCAACCGCCGATAAGACCGCCACAATGGCAAAAAACAACGTCAAAGCCTTCAATGCCATATCTCAGAAGAGGTAGAAATCACAGAAACTTATATCCTTCAATGACGAATTGATTGATAAAGACGAATTAACTTATATCCTTCAATGACGAATTGATTGATAAAGACGAATTAACTTATATCCTTCAATGACGAATTGTGTAGCAATGGCGACAAGTTGCTGTTGTTGGATTCTTTCAAAAGATTTTTGTTCCCAACCTATGCCTTTCTCACAAGTCAAATAAATCTACTTCGGTTATTCTAGCTTTATAAAGAGAGGTCAAAGTCCAAAAATATATTGGCAATTGGTTTGTGAAAAGCAGCAGTAGGGATTTGGTGGAAGAATGGGGAGTCTAGTTCAAGAGTGTTCGCGCCGGAGAATAGCCCAAAATATGGGGGAAGACAATGGCATGTATCAAAGTAGAGAGAAAGAAAATAGTATAACTGAATAGCGTATTTAGTGGCTTAGGGGTAGGAGGTAATCAAAATTAAATATTTTGCTATAAATATTGAAAGGTATCTATAGAATATAATTTTTTTAAATGAAATTTATTTAAAATAAATAACGTGTTAACCTTTACTATAGGAGGTAAAAATTCCTTATACTAAACTAGTGCAAGACGGTGTCTTACATATACACATTTATCAGTTGACTATGGTTAAATGGTAGTATATATTTATTATTACTTTAATTTTAACTAGTAAAGTTAAATAAATTGGTTGTGTAAACACCCATATGGGTAAGTATTTACCATTGTCAAATCATCTGCCCCATCCTAACAACAGTTAAAAACTTCCCCACCCTTTGAAGATTAGTTGCAATACTGTCAAGATTTTTATTAAATGTACACTGATATATACATTCTTTAATCTTTTGGGGGTAGGTTGGTTATGATATGTCTGGTTTGCCAATTGGTCTTCAATTTATTGGGAAGCCATGGGATGAATCCTTACTGATTCATATAGCTTTTGGCATGCAAGTAAGTGAATGTTTGAATCCCTGATCATCTTTATCATATTTTACATTATTAAAATTGGATTTTGTACTAAGAAATAGCGTACGTTTCTTGGTTTTTCAGGCATTATGCATCTCTGAATACAAAAGGCCAGAGGTTTTCTTTGATTTATTGGGCAAGTAGTAGTTGAATTCCTTTAATCGTGGGGGCTGGATATCCTGGATTCATACACTAGTTTCATGTTATGTTTGGTTATATATAGGACTGGATGAGTATAGCACGTGCTCGCCTGCGTTCAGCATTGCAATTGGGGTGTCCACATGCATGTGCTTTTTATTTTATTTTATTGAATGAGCGTATTTAAAGTGTCGACGAATGAATATAATGCAACTTTTCACTTTTACATCACACGGTATCATATTCAACAAACTAGGTCATCTCTTAACTAAGGAGTTAACACTATTACTAAAATATAAAGCAAAGAATAGATAATGAATACCTGTAAATCAAAAGCCTATAACCTCTTCAATATGGTCTAATGCATTTGTTCTTCGTAGGAGTCATATACTCCCTATGTTTTAATTATACTAGTTTCTCGGCACGTGCCATGCACGTGTATTCCGAATCATGTATTTTACAAAATAATATTAATATTATTAAAAACAATTTGAGTAATATACATTAAAAAATAAAATATAAGTTTCTGTTATTGATAAATGTGGATCATCTGGCTTGCTTGTTGAGGTTAAGGTAATTGGATATCAGTTGAACCTATGAAGATGAGCAATCAAAATTTAATTAGATACATAAAATTTTTATACTTAATTTAATTTTGTGAGGTGAAGGGGAGCCTTGGCGTAATTGGTAAAGTTATTGTCATGTGACCAGGAGGTCACGAGTTCGAGCTGTGGAAACAGACTCTTGTAGAAATGCTGGGTAAGACTGCATATAATAGACCCTTGTGGCCTGGCCCTTCCTCAGACCCTGCGCATAGTGGGAGCTTAGTGCACTGAGCTGTCCTTTTCAATTTTATGAGGTACAAACAAGTAATGACGCATACTTTCACCTAATAATTCTCTATATACGATATTCATGGTGTATTTTCATTTCCACCCTTTTAATGTTATTTCCAAATAATTATTATGGTTTATTGTTGTCTTCTTCATCATTTTTAGAATCCAAATATTAGAGCAATGATCATATCTCAATCCATTCAATTCTTTATGAAAACTCAATCTAGAAAAGGATCCATGCACCCAAAAAATACAAATAATTTGAGCATGGAATTGAAGATGTGAGAGTTGAACTGAACATATTATAGTAACTCAAAGGATCAGTGTACAAACCAATATAATATATGCTTGTTCACATGATAGATCTACAAATTTAGATTAGTTAAAATTCAATTTGGAATAAGACTTGTAAGAATAATGAGAGCATTAATACCTTGAATAGCTACTTTCGACAATTGATGTTTCATTGCCTTTTCAACAAGTGTCTGTTACTACTTAATTTGACATAAAACACTTTGATTTTGAGAGAGAGTCAAAATTAGAGGTGCTAGAATTTCAAGTAAGATATAACAGCATATGAATATCGGCGAATGGTCAAATCTAAGGAAGAGCTACATGGTATAAGATGCATATCAAGAGCATAATTTAGCCCAAAAGAATTTAATGAAAGACGAGAAAGGAGAATGTAATTTACCCATTGGGCCGCAAATATAATAAGTCTCATGAAGTGTCTGCAAGACACTGCACAACCATGTTGTGTTCGTAGTGCCGGAATTGCATTTGCATCATTATCTGTAAATTTGAAGAAGCTTTAATTTTCACCCAATTTCTGTTCACTCAACCAACAATAGAGAGACTAATCACGGAAATACAATCTACATAAATTAAACATTACTCAACAGAAAGGTAAATGAAAAGAGAAACCACTTGAATCCTCTTTTTTGTCAAGCCCCAAACGGATATCCACTAAAAATTAATAGAACTCATGGTCAACATTTAACACCATTTTCAAACATTAGATAACTCCGTGGATATATTTTCTTACATTATGTGGATATCAAGTCATTCTATTCAATTTATGTGCTTGCGGAGTTAGATTACTATCCAATTCGGGTAATTTATAATAAAACGTCTCACATCAAAATAAACTCTAAATAAGGACACCATAAGAGGGTGATACTCAATCTTCTAGAGATTTTCAACAACTTCAACCAGTGGAGGCAATGTATTGTTAGTAAAATATATATTTAATTTAATATGCCAATTACACCACAAAAGAAATTCAAGTGAAATATTTATGAGTGGTTTATATTCCTATTCTAAATATACTAAAGCCACACGGTCTTGGTACTTTATTTTGTTTCCCAAGTGCAGTCCTTCTCCACTGAGATAACCATTTTGAAAAATTCTATTAATCTTTTCTCTTTTATTTTGACTATTGAATCGTTTACAAGAAACTGAAAAGGATGGAAAGAGATTAAAAGGAATTACCAAATTTTGAAATCAAAAAGAATGAATCAAAAAATTCGTAGTAATTCGCTCAAAAGAAAAGTACAATATATTCTATTACGACCTTGACTGCTACTCTCAATGACCTCCAGTACGAATAACCCAAAAAAACTGATAGCAAAATCCCGTTGTATCAAGCATGCAAGTAAAGAAAGAAATAATTGTTAAGCGGTAAAAAGTGTAGTGTTTGTAACTAACGGTTTGATGGTTTGAGAGTTGAACGGTGACTCTTTGTGCAACTTAGAAACAGCACATCATGAAGCGTTGCCTTCTCTTAGGCGTTGGGTTTTATATTTTATTAAATAGAATATTTAGTTTAATTAATAGAAAGGATACTTAGGTAAATCTATGTTATTTAAAAGGGCAATTTGGTATTTTAACTTTTTAGTTAATAGCTTCATGCTTTTATAATAACTAGTCTCTACGTTCGTGCGATGCACGAATATTATTTGTCAAATATTATAACGCGTACCAAAAATAAAAATAAAAACTTTTAATTGCATATATACTATAAAATTAATCATGGATATGAACNACTAGTCTCTACGTTCATGCGATGCACGAATATTATTTGTCAAATATTATAACGCGTACCAAAAATAAAAATAAAAACTTTTAATTGCATATATACTATAAAATTAATCATGGATATGAAGGAATTTTAATAACCAGTTCCTTAAAATAATTTTTTTTTACAGAATATAACATATAGTCTAATAAACTCATTAACCTTATAAAAAAAAGTTTATTATACTCATCAATAAAGTTTTGACGCAATCACAGGACAAAGCGAAACTATTTGGAATCACATAGTTAGAGATTAAAATTGTAAAATCAAGTTAAGAATACAATAATACCTTCTTCTTTTATTGTTCAAAAATTACTTTAGTTCAGTCTTAATGATTCATGTTATGGAAATTATTCTTCTTATTTTAAGATTCATTAATCACAATGTCTAGATTGATTAATTGTAATACGTCTCCAATATTAAAATTGATTTACTATTTAGAAACAAATCTCATTAACAACTACCTTTTAAGAAACAGTTTAATGCATTGTACCACATCAGTTTCCGAAAGCAGTTCTTATTTTGACTTTTTTTCTTCGCTTGTTTGATACTATAAGATATGGAATTGATTAAGACTTAAGAGCCTATTTGGAATTTCCTTCAGTAAAAGAACTTTAAACCCGAAAAGAATTGAAATTCTTAGTCAATTCGTTCAAAGTTATGTGATTTCCATCTTTTAAAGGTTAGAAAGATGAGAATACACGTTTTATTCTGGTCCGAAAGAATATATATGTTCCAATATAATAAGGAAAGAAAAAAGTTTATTAAGGGTAAAATATATGGCAAAACTTAGAAGATTCCGGACTCTAAATATTAGGCAATGGAATCAATATAACAATTTTATTTAGTATAAATTTTTTTCAGTATTAGACAATCAATTTTGTAGACTTGGTAGGCTACGTTCAAGATGTACCAAAAGTATTTGACCCAACGTATTTGTAGTTTAATTTAAATCGAAAAAGAGTTTCAGCCTTAGGTGATTTATAATTATATCATTAAATTATATAAATATTTAAGGGTATAAAAGTCGATCAATATTTGAGGGATATTTTAGTCGTTCAACATTTAGCATACATTATTCGTGCTTTTATAATAATATAGATAGAAAGGATACTTAGGTAAATCTATGTTATTTAAAAGGGTAATTTGGTATTTTAACTTTTTAGTTAAAGGCTTCATGCTTTTATAATAATATAGATAGATAGATAAGGTAGTTTGACTCAACACATTTAAGGAAAAAAACGACTTTTAAAATTTGTGGTCTTAAAAACTTAAGGGATAAAAGCTTTGTGGGAAGTAACATTTGTGTGACTATAAAAACTTTTCATTAAGGGCAAAATAGATAAAATAAAAAAATTAATATTAAATTATTATAAAATATAATTTGTATCAATATTTTTGGAGTAAACTAATAAGAAAAGTGTCATATAAATTAAAACGGGTGGAGCATTGCAGTTCCTCTTTTGTATCACAAGTGAGTTAGTGTGGGAAGATATTATTGGATTGGGTCCACCCATAAGGGGTGGTAGATAGTTCACAACATTATTAATTAATCTCTGCCTAAACCCTAATACTAATGTATATAAATACCATTATGGGTGTTAAAAAGTATACTTATTTTTATTCTGAATGACGACGACTAGGGTCTATGAAGAAAACTCTTTGAATCTCAAAAGAAATTTCTAGGCTGTGAAAACCAAGGAATTCTTCCACTTTGTGAGAATTTCTATCGATTGGTGACTCAAATTGTAATTCTTATAGATCCACTTTCGCTAACAAACCTAACTAGTATTTACAATTAAATACTTCAGTTAGGCAGGCATATATCATGGCAACTACACCCCGGGGTGTAAGTTGTAACTGTGTAAGGTCCATGCTGTAAAAGCTATGATTGTGTTGCTCCTCCTTGTTTCTATTCACGTGGCGGGTAACAGAGACATCTAACCCTGCCTTGTTTACAAGACATCAAAATGAGAGACTCTTGATCATTTCCTTTCCTCAAACTGCCAACATGTCACCACTTGTGTACGGTGAAATCTGGGAGGCCGATTTCTCCTTGACGAAATGCTTCGGAGGGTGACCCCGGAGGTCCGGGATCTTGAGCCGGTCACTTCCTTCAAGATCTGTCGATGCCCCGCCAAGGATAATGCCGACCGAAGTCCTAACGAACGCAAGAATCTCTCGAGGAATGCATCCGGGGTTGATCAGGTCTATCTGAGCAGCTCGACATCGGCCCACGCATACGTCATAAAGCTAGCCGGATGTCCCATCCCATTTCCTTTATCACGCAATGTATCTTGTACTAAGCTTGGGCTCCC